TGGTGGGGGGGGGGGAGAGTGTCCGGATGACCGGAAATAAGCTTTCCCGACTTGTGAGGGGTCTTTTAATGACCTTTAAGTTTTTCAAAATTCAAGGTTCCCCCTTTTGAAAAAGGTCTGGTAATTTTATCTCATTCTATAGGCCTATATATAGAGAAAAAATCAAAGACATAGGCAATATATTATTATATTCCAACAATATTTAGTAGTTGGATAAGTAGTCCAACAATATTGAGTAGTTTTATACATAGTCTTTCTTCCATGGATTGATGAACTGATAGGCCTGAAGAATGCACTTTCGTACATAAATTATTACGACGTCGAACCAAAAACAGTGTGTATTTTATTTAATTATTATATTTGGGTAGATCACATTATAAGCTTTCATTTGGTCTTTGAATGGCTTCCCTACTATAAGTAAATCCAGAGATGTGAGAAAATCAACCTCAAAGATAAACTAACTTGTACAAATAATATGACTAGAATTACAGAAAATGTGCAGAGAACACTGTTTTGGCAAGAAAATTCCCTTACAAAGTATACAATCATCAAATATAAGTATCAAGTTATTCAAAAACATTAAAATAAAAATTTTGTAAAATGTTGACTTTGGCCTGTTTTGGTGAATATCTCGATATGATTTCACCAACGATGTCTCTCATTTCATGGTGAGACCTCACAATTAGGAAGAAATATACATATCTTATCTTTGGAGATTTCAAGGCAGCAGAGGGCGTAATAAAAATGAAGAAAACCTTTTATTATTTATTATTCGTGGTGGCGGGTGCGCTAATAAAATTATATTTTTAATCGAAATCATCAATAGTTGTATAATCAGCGGGTTGGCTAAATAAGGTATAAAAACAGTCTCGCCAAAATAAAGAGGTCTAGATATATCGTCAGCATCATTGCCACCTAAAATTTTAAAATAGATGCAAAATAAAGAATTACTCTGTTGTCGAATTTTTAGTTTTTTTCTCCAAAATTCATCAAAAATATAATATTTTAATAACAACAATAATAAATATTAAAGAGTATAGAATGGAAAGAGGTTTGTTTGTATTTTGTTTTGAATGCACACATTGTGTAGATAATGGCTGTTGAAATTGTTGACCTATATGTGGGTATTCTTGCTAAATCAGGAGAATTGGATCTCCTTCCATTCTGTATTTTGTGGTAATAATATGTTGTTTTTTGTGGTGTGAAATAATAAGGATTTTTTAAAGAGTGATGAGGATCCCTTTGACTGGGCAATAAAGAATTGTTGAGAATAAATAGTATGAAAAGGAACTAATATGTAACTGTACATTAAATTTTGTGGTGCATCTGGTTTGTAAAGGGGCTTTGAGAATCTTGCACTGAGAGGAAAGGTTTAGGGGAAGGGGAGTAGAGAAAGTAGAATACTCTTGATGGACAGTTTTTAGAAAGCTAGAAAAAGAAGAAAAAGACCATTTAGTGATACTGTTGGTGGTAATATTATCAGTTGAGGTGAAATAATCATACCCATAGACATTATAACTGTTTACTTTTTTATTTCAACAAAAGTATTTGTGAAAAATGTGTGAAAAATATCCATACATGATCTATATAAATTTGAAGATGTTCTTACATTCAACAAGTCAAACACTTGGCCACACATAAATAAGGCATTTTTTCTTGTTATGATTCACCTTAAATTGGAACTTAACTATTGGCATAATATATCTCATGCATGTTTAGCGAGTTTGCATGGTTTTCAAAAAGTCCTGACGTCTGTTGTTATACAAGGAATATGAAAATACAAATATCAAATTGAAATGCATATACTGTTCAAAGAGAGAAAAGTAAAATTAAAATTTATGAAGACTAAAAAGCGATGTCATGGCAATGTAGAATTCCTAGTTCATTGTTCATTTAAAATTTTAACCTTGTCAGTTCCAGGCTTGGGGAATTTATTTTAATATTTATTCATGGTAGTAACGGCAGTGATTATAATGGTTAGAGCATGAGATGCAGAATCTTGAAGACAACCTTGGAAGGAGGTGGTACTGGAGAGAAAACTAGTCAGCCAAAAATTGAATGGCTAACAGGAATTGATAGACCTGATGGACTAAACATCATTGAGGGTCTCCGGCATATGATTGATTTTTTTTCTGAGTGTATTATTTAAACAAATATATTTCCTTGTTCTACTTTTATTATATTTAGGTATTTTGATATAGTGATTTAAATGCATATGGGAAAAAAACTCAGAATCACCAAGCAGACTAAATGCACACATACATGGACATCTTCATATATATGTATATATCAAGCTATATACATTTATAGAGACCAAATTATATACTGTATTAATATATATATAAATATTCATTTATATTATACCACTCAACTGTTACCATGTTTTGTCCACCCCACATAGTAATTAAAACTTATAGTTTGCAGCTAGGAAGTCATAGTAAATAAAGTTTGTTGCATATCACCATAAACACAATATAAGCGAATTTAGGAAGTATTCGGTTCTACCAAGAACAAGAGGTCCGACTCTCATGGTTTTGTTGGTGCGTAATCCTATTTCAGAAAGTACTGCTACGAAGAAGCGTGTCCTTTTAAAAGATGAGCTTCGAGCGAACTCTGTTTATAAGGCACCCCCATCTCGTGGCAATACTTTTTTTTTTACATTCGTTGCGTGCACACAAAACCAGTGAAGTCGGACCCTTCGCAATTCCATACTCTTTGGTTCTGCATAAAGAGTAATATAGCTTAGGTTATTTTTAGGGATTTTTCCTTTTTCTTGACTTACAATGAAAGCAATAATCAGTGCAAAAAATATCAGTGCAAATACTATTACTACAACTTGGCAATACTTTTTTTTTTTTACATTCGTTGCGTGCACACAAAACCAGTGAAGTCGGACCCTTCGCAATTCCATACTCTTTGGTTCTACTGTAAATGGCTAGACCAGATGTCTTCTATACTAACATCATTTGCGTAAAGAGTAATATAGCTTAGGTTATTTTTAGGGATTTTTCCTTTTTCTTGACTTACAATGAAAGCAATAATCAGTGCAAAAAATATCAGTGCAAATACTATTACAACAACTTTTAATGTAGAATAATCATCATGGCCCTTGGTACTATCATAAACAGTTTTGGATGTAGAAATATCATGGCCATTGCTACTGTCATCAGGTCTATTAGTCGTTCCGAAGTAGCTGGTGATTTCAGATGTGATTTCTTCTAGAAATTCAGTTATCTGTGATCCAGTTTTAATTGCAGACTTTGTATAAGAATCCCCAATTTGCAATTCACAAATGTAGTCCTCTCTTGTTGTGTTTGCTTTGATATCAACTGTCTTAATAGTCCATATGTTGGTTGCATTTTCAACTAAATCCAGTTCCTCTCCATTGATCGACAGGCTTTGGACGTGGCAACGTGTTCTCGGATATACATATGACCTCCAGTTGACATTCGTTTCTTTTCTCTAATAGTATTGTTGGATACTGTGGTGCTGGTATTCCAATTATATTTAGGAAAATTGTTGGAGAAATAAGGTCATCACACATGGCTGTATAGTACCCCTTATCAAGGCGTTGGAGATGATCAATTTTGAGTAAAAGCTTTCCTATTTCTTCATAAGGTGTGATACAATTACTATTGGCCAAATTTACTTCATTCTTCTTCCATTGTACAGTGCGACATTCAAAGGGATTTGTCGAAAAGATTATTTGTATTGTAATGCTTTCTCCTTCAGTACCATTTAAATTTGAAACTACACTGTACAAAATTGTTCCTGAACTGCTATGGATACAGGTTACAAGTAATACCATAAATTTCAAGAGCAGACCTATTGATGAACAAATAAATATATAGTAATTGTATTACTTTCTTTTTTTTTACTGATATTTAAAGGGATTAAGTTATAGATTTTAATATTTATAACAATATTGCTTAAGTACAGTAATGCTTTCCAATCCCAGTATGCTATTTTTACACCATTTGTATATGTATGCTCAGACCCTTTTTTAGGAATTGGAATTTTGTCTGTGGTGTAAAATATGACAATGTGGATCACATGAACAAAAAAAAAATATAAAAGAAATGGAAATCCCAAAATATCAAAATCATTAAACTTTTGGTACACTGTGTGTAAAAATATGGTTTTAATTCAAATTCAAAAACCATATTTTTACGTAATATGTACGAATAATTTAATGTTGGTGAACTATCTATTCCTATGTACAAATTAAATACTCCTTTTGACTTTCAGTAAAGAATGCAAACAGTTAATCAACCAAGACTAGCATATAGATTGACTTGTTTAAACCTATCACTTGGAAGATTCATAAACAAATTTTCAATTTTTTTAGTGACAGGAGTATAATTAAATACCATTTTTAGTTCCTATGCATATAATGCATTTAAGAACTTCGTATTTACTTGTTTTGCTTGTGTATGTTTGTGGACATTTAAAGTGAAAATGCGCATTTGTCAGGAAGAAGTTTTCTGACATTTTGGTTTAACATCACAACACAAAGTTCTTAAAGTGTTCAGTCTGGGCTCACGCTAATTGATTGTCAAGTCACCATGGGTGAAAACTATTTTGGATCGGCGAAGGCTTAGAATAGAAAAAAAGTTAAAAATACTTGCTAAAATACATTGTTTTTTCATTTGATCTCCATTTTTCATCAAATCCATACGACGTCTATTTCTGTTGTACGGTTAGTTTTGCTGCAGACGTAATTTTGTGCCTCGCTAGTTATTTTTATTTGTAATTGTTATTTTAACATGGTGAATGCAGGGCAGTGGCTGTATAATGTAGACTAAGGCCAAAAAAAAAAAAATTATGTTGCCCTTAAATGGAAAAAATCGAGATTGTCAGTCGGTCGGATTTTTTATTTTTTTTAATTTAAATTTTTGGTTCCTATGCTTTGGAAGCATAGGAACTTTTAAAATCCTGCTCATGTGTATGTAGTATGTACGTTACTAGTATGTTACGCAGTTTTTTGTAAACAGGCAAACGTGACTTTCCAGACATCTGTTTGTTTTTTGCGTCCGTAGGCAAGCTAATCTGGATCTTTTGTTGTGCCCTATTTCATAGTTTTCTATTTTGACAAATATTAAAGCCATACTAATGAGAGACAATACCCCCCTACTCTTGAAAAGACTAGTAAACTGTATATGATAAGAGGAAAACATTTATGGAATGTTGTGTACTTTCGTTGTCCAAACTGTCAAATGAAATGTGATGGATCGGACTCCAGGGACTTTCCTGGCTGGTAGGGATATAAAACTTTATCTTCACTCTAAAAACCTCAATTTTATACTACTGCGGTTTGGATAAGGTTTTACAGCAGACAGAATAGAATTGTGTTGTGTATGGAAGTGTTGTCGTTTGAAAAAAAACATAAAACAAACTTGATACCTGACTGGATACAGTAATCCTTTTGCAGCTTCTATTGGATAATAGACTAACGTGTGTACAGTACGGTAGAGTGAAACCATTGTTGGCTCAGTTCCGACCGAGTCAGTGAAATATGTAACGATTAAGAAATTAAAATTAATCCACCCGATCCATCCCGAAATAGGCAACAATACTAAATTTCCCAGTACTGTAAAGTTGCCTAGTAACACTTAGAGTAAGAAATGTTCCGCAATTAGGTTCCCATTACGTTGGCACGATACTTCATTATGAGAATCAGACACATGGTCAGTCACCTAATTAGTTTGATTCTTTGTACGCCGCCTATTCCAATTCAGGAGCGTATATAGCCTACATATAATATATTAGCAAATACGTCATTATTATTAATAACTGACATTAACATCAAAATCAAAATCATAATTAATTTGCATCATCATCCTCATCAGTTATTAATAATAAATGTGTTTGTCATCTCAAATTAACACGAGCACTCCCTCGTTAGTTGCCATGTCTACATCATCGAAAATACAGTAGTGCAATATTTTACGAATGCCCGCATAGGGACCTTGGCCCTCGCAGAGGTCTGGTTTTTTATAGCATATCCTTTAAACTGCAGTCCTTATATTGAAGGCCTCGTATGCACCACAATAGAACGATGGCCAGCTTGCCAAAGATGTAATGATGGAAAACTAACCAAGTGTATATTGAAATAAGTTTAACAAGAATCAGTCAGTTTAAAGAAAGATTTATTTGGCTTTAAAACGTAAAATAATTTGTGTATCTGATCCACACAATCATTAACGGGCAGGTCAAACAATGCTATACTATGGCTATGAAAGTGTCCAAATAAGCGCCCCTCTATGTAATACAAGCAAATTAAACTTGAGGAAAAATATATATTTCGTTCGTGGTTGGCGTAAAACCTTATACTTGGTATTTTGCTTGTTTCCTCTAAATCTTCCATGAGGAAATTAACTAGGTCATAAAATATATAAATTTAATGGAGCCTAAAATGTCTGGCTGTGTACCAAATCCTGTTTTTATTTAATATCCAATGTATCGTAAGGTAATGAATTCGATTTTTGGATTCAAGTAACCACTAGTCTAGTTGTACAGTAGTAAGGAATAGGCTAGGCCTAGATCATGTTGTGGCTTGACAGCTCAGCGCGAGAGATCCTATGTTGCGTGCATACATCTTTGTCGTCATCATGCTCAGTTCTTAAAACTTTGCCTTTTACGATTTTATGTAAAAAAATATGTTTTAGATTTTATATTCTAAATTTTAATTTCAGTAGTGGTATTTCTCGAATTTGTATTTAAGTGAAAGGAAGACCTTTGAACAAAATTAAAAAAAAAAAAATTGCAGTCGATCACAACATTTTTTGTTGTTGTTTGGCCTACCCTAATATGAAAGCACTATATTTCCCACAGCCGGCTATTAGTTGGGTCATTTCTGGCAATTCTGTGACTGTGGAGAGGCTAAATTAGTTTCTCAATGGATTTGTCTTCCTTGAGGGTATAATAACAAAAATAGCTTGGGTGTCCCTCGCAAAAGTGTGGGCATAACCTGTGAGAGCCTTAAATCCAAAATAGCCGCCTTCCACCATTTAGAAATTTTTTTTTCAGTGTTTCAGCATGGCTGCTTTAGTGCATGGATTTGAGGGTTTTGAACATCCAGAAATCCATACTGTATTTGATGTTGGATCGATGATTCGACCTAGTTTTGACCTTGAAATTCAAGATGATTGCTATTTTTTTGTCCATTTTTTTTAGCATTCGTCATAGTGCCTTTATAAAAGGCTTTTATGCTGAATTGACTGACGGAGAGTAAAACTACAATTAATTACACTGAGGTCATTTCAGAGGTCAAAGGTACTGTTAATATCCAAAAATTCATATTTGATGTCCAAATTACTCATGTTTGACTTTCAAATCTAAAAATGCTGCTGAGGACACCTTGCAAGTCAACATTCAATATTTCTTAATAGAAAATGAAACTTTAATTAGTTACATTACATTAGTTATAAAATTTCAGTGTACTGTTAACATCCAGGAATACTTGTTGCAGTGGTGGATCCAGGAATTTAAAATAGAGGGGGCCCAAAGAGGGTACCAGAGCCATGGTTGGGGCTGAGATAAGAAATTTTATGACTGTGGCGCCTCTAGATGGCAGGAAGTGGTACTCTTAGACTCAAGATTTGAGTTCCTTTTTTTTTTTTTGTTGAAAAAATAAGGAGGGAGGCCCAGGACGATTGACAGTAGTACTTGGAGCAATGATGACAGTGAGTTTGGAGAAACAACGGACTCGAATGAGGAGTACCAGCCTATTGTTTAATAATCACTGTTACTTCGTTTAGTTGTTAATTCAGGAAATTAATTAGTATTAGAATATATTTCACTTGTAATTTGCACCTGAGTTACGATAATTTTGGTACAGCTGTACCCTGATCGTTAATTGAGCAGTTTTTGATACTATGACTCAATATACAAAGCAATGATTTCTAATACACTCATTGTATAAAAAGAGGTTTTGTTACCATAAGGAGGCAATGTTTGTAACCTCTGAGATGCACTTGAACTTGAACATTTGACCTGTGAGTTATAAATTAGCAGCATTATTGGATTTTAAGGTTAATCAATTGAACCTCAAATATGAATTCCTGGATAACATTACACTAGTACACTGGAATTTCACAACCAATGTAACTAGCTAAACAGAAAACCGGAAGTTCAGGAGCACAGACGCTAGGCTGATATAATAATTTATTGATTTTACGTCGCGAGGTTAGTTAGGCTTATCATACTAGGCTCCGCAGAGCGAAGGTGACTGAAGCGGCTCTCCCCCTCCACGTAAAATTGATTTTTTTGTGGATGAAAAAAGTGGCTTTCAATTCTGCCATCCCCATCTTGGTTGTTTACGATAAATAAAAACGAACACCGACAAGATCGTTGAACTCCCTGTTTTCCGGTGACTTACGCGTTGAGATGGGTGACAGCATAAGGAACAACTTTTCATATTTTTTCATAATCACCAACTGGATTTTTGAAAGATACTAAGTGCGGTTTCCCACAACCTCGAACGGGCGCTAGGCGGATATATGATTTATGGATTTTACGTCGCGAGGTAAGTTAGGCTTATCACGCTAGGCTCCGCAGTGCTGAGAAGGTGACTAAAGTGGCTCGTAGGCCATGGGGATTTGGCTAGGTCCCCCTCGAGGTGAAATTTTAATATAATTTTTTTTTTTCAAAGTTCTTGATCAATAAATTCAAATTTAGTTTTATTTTGTAAAGGAATAATTTGTGCTGATGTGAAGATTTGGCTGTTGACTAGGTATTTTAATTTTTTTTTTCAAAATTATTCATAAATCAATTATAAAAATGTAATTATTAGTTTTTTTTTTATTTCACAAGACTACAAGATGTATTACAAGCAAAAACAATTTATTATCTTTCATTTGCTATCAAACATTATTTTATTACTCTTATAGAAAAAAATTATATTAATTATATTTCTGTCGCTAAAAAGAAATTGAAATTTGTTTATGAATCTTGTAAAGGGAAAGGGTTGAGAAAGCCAATTTAACCAGATCTCCCAGAAGTGACCCTTGTGATAATAAAAAAAAAACAAAGAAAACTTCCTCTGTCTACAGTAGGCCTAGGCCACTGGCATAAGCAGCTATGTCTGAGGTGTAGTGGACCTGGTATGTTTTTAAGCCTGCCTGATCTCACTGTATCCCTACAAAAGTTTGTTTTTACCAGAGGTTTTTACCATCTCAAATACCTAGTTATGATATTTTAAATAAAGATTACTTACAATTATAATAAAAGCAAGTCTTATCTTCCACTTGGCATGTATACATGGTACAAATATTTGTTGAACACCGTCCGGTATGTAACAATAGTTCCTCGGAGCTCGATTCAGAGCACGCTATTAACTGGCTGAATTCAGTCTGGTGTGTTGCATTGTGGGAGATCGTTTGATGAATTTGATGCAACTGGTTAGATCCAGTTCCATGATTACGGTAATTCTTGCCGCAATTTGTATATTTGATGTTTTTCCGATAACATGTAGAGCCATTACTTTTGAGTATTTGTTGTTTGATTTTAACAAACATAAATAAATATTATGATGGGATGGTTTATCAAGTTAGCTGTTTAGAGTGACATATATGTTCCATAACAATTATATATATACCTATTGTTGAAATATTATGAATATGGATGTTTGTGCTAATGAACCTAGTGGATAAGGCTAAGTCTGCACATGCTCAGAAATTAGAGTTGACAATTGAAATTCATTGAACTGGTAAACATAATATGGTAGATTTTGCATTCACAAACATAAAGCAGTTTATTTACTGACAATGAGTTGCATATTCATTGTCATTTTAATAAACATTGAATAAGCAGTCAATAACCTGGCATTGACATAAAATTATTCCTTCATGCATGTCTGTGTATTTTGTCAGCAAGGTGTCAGAGAACCATTGGAATACCTGCCTTGTATGAATACATGTGTTGCGAACTGGACACTTTGAGACCTTAAATTCCTTGATTACAAAATGTCCAGGCTGCGAAATGTCTGCAGCAGATCTACAAGAAGCAGTTTCCAAGAAACATCAAGGTTACAAAAATGTCTTCCACCCCTCTACATGATAAAAAGCAAAGATAAAAAAATTACCAAATGATTTATTTGTTTTTGGATATTAATTTACGATTGGGAGCGATTGGCTGAATTTGATTGCATTACAATTTGAAAAGAGGTATTCACCTTGATTGTTTTATACATTAAGAGTATGTACATATTGTAAAAATTTAACTAAAAGTGAATCACATGCACCTTTTCCAAACCTCAATAACAATATTTTGAAATTGGAAATGTAAATGAATTAAAAAATCTAGGAATAGAATGTATAGTTTTGAAGATAAATAGTAAACATAATATTAACAAAATGAGTAGCTAAACTAAAGTAATAATAAGTTAATGAATATTGAATATTGATTCACAATTGTTTTCTGAACTAATGGTCTTCTAATGGACCTCTGCGACACTAATTAGTCTTAAATAAAACAAAAAGACAGTAACTCCGAAAAGAGACAGAGACATTTTGAGATTCAACGTTTCGATCTATTTGATCATTTTCAAGAATACTGGGACACCACATGCATTATTCAGTGTTTCTGAAACAAATTATTTATTTAGTTAATATCCAACAATATTTGAAGAGGAATATCCAACAATATTTTAAGAGGGTGACCATCCTTTGCGAGCTGTTTTCTGTTTGTTAAGTGGAGAGCAAAGGTTTGAAGCAAAGAAATCTAGGCCTAGGTCGGCAAAAAATTGCCGTTCTGTAGCAATTCTGGCTCGGCAATATGGTCGTCAATTGCCGATTGCCGACCTGAAATTCATGGGCTGGGACATTAGTGGTACAATCAGGACATTGTATGTTTTTTCAGTTCGCATTCAATGTTTTTGTTAACACACATGAGAGTATATAACATTTGTGATGTTTTTAGTTCCTATGCATGTAATGCAATAGGAACTATTGTAATCACTCTTGCTATTTCCTATGTTTTTCATTGTGTGTAGTGTGTGTGTGTAGACATTTATGCAAATGCACATGCGTCAAAGAAAAGTTTTCCGACATTTTGTTTTACATCGCGATGCGAAGATCTGTTTCTGCAGAGTTCAGTCAGGGCTCACGCTAACCGACCGGAAAGTCGGCATGGATGTAACTATTTTGGTTTTACGGCAAAAAAAATCAACTGCTGTAGGCATAGGTATTTTGAAAAAGGCCTAAAATAAAACTAAAATGTTTTAATACCAGCTGAAATACATGGTTTTTTCATTTAGATCTTGATTTTTCACTAAGTCCATGTGACGTTTTTTTCTGTTGTATACGTATGAGTAGTCATATGAAGGTACTATATCCCCGACAGTTGGCTGTGCAGCAATGTACCCTTTGAATGCAAACTGAAAACAGGTGAAAATATAAAGGCAGCCGACTGTCGGGTACATAACGACTATCTAGCTTTCCACAAAAACATGAGGCCTAAGCTAGGCCTAGTTCAGTTACTGCGATGCGAGGGTGGTTAGATCGTTCAATGATATCGTGTTATCGTCTAATACAAATAAATAATGTGTAAATATTTAAGAATGCACCATGTGGGTCGCTTTCTTTGTTATGCGGTTGTAGTATACGTAGCAGAGTGACGGCAGCAAGCTAAGCATAGCCCAGGGCCTAGATCGTGTACGTTCTTGATCATCGTAATGAAAACTTCGGGTGACAGACGATTGGGGACAACTGGTGTGGACGATCGAACCCAAGATATTTTCAAATAAATTGTAGTCCTTAGCAGCCACTGCCAGCAACCCCACTTCCGATATCGTTCCAAATTACTGTAAAATGAAAATACTGTATACCTAGCTAGGCCCTATGCCTACAATATTTTTTCAAAGAAATTTGCTAAAAATGTTACTGGAATTTGCCTGTCGAATTACATTATCAATGTAGTCTGAAATCACTATTTTGGGCCATAAAGACTCCCCCTGTATTTTTCAACCACCACACAAATTTGACCCAACCTTACATATAAGTATGTATGTTATAATGTATGTATGTATGTATATATATATCAC